ATAGTACTAAAATTTGAATTATAATCTATAGTTTGATACCAAACTTATTAACATAAATTCATGAAAGTGTAGTTCAATAACATTTTGATATGAGTTAACAAACGTGATGACATGGCCTTTGACCCATTTGGAGATGGTTAATAGAACTGAAAAAAATCTGCAATACCATGGACAGTAAGATGCATGCCAGAATGAAACTTCAAAAACTTCTATTATCCAATGGCTATCCAGATAGTTACATTACTAAGACATCCCACAATTTTGACTAACTGACTACAGCAAGAGAAAAGAAACCACCATATCAAAACATGGTTTCATGAGTTATGCCCTTTACAGATAAGCCTTTATAACTACTTATCTTTGTCCAGTGACTAGAAGATCTGGTTTGAATAACCACATCATACAAAAATCCAGTAAAAAAACTGAAGGATATACTTACTCATTCAGGCTTCAATAACAAAAATACATGCAAATCCAAAAAAAGTGCATTGCTAAGACCAATGGCTTAAAGAAATCCTGCACACTTAAGAAATGAAATGCACAGTGTGTTCAGCCACATACATAGGTGAATCCAGTCATCCAATACACGATTGTTTCAAAGGCCATGTTTGTGCCACCACAAATCTTGATGATAACAGAAGCCACTATCGAGCACTACATCAATGCACACAGCATAATTAGCAAGATACCTTATCGGAACAAACTTTTAGAGATTTGTGACAGCTTTCTTGATAGGAAATTTAAGGAAACTTATTTAATTCAATCCAAATGCCCTTCCATTAACATGTACAACGTCTTGCCCTTATAAAACTGTTATTATTTAATTCAAGGTTTATTTAAAAACTTTTGTGATCAGCAATTTTAACCTGTTTAATACTTTTCAGCAGGCTATACCATGCATTATTTTATTATACTGTTGTAGTTTTATATTACTTTTGGTTACTATAATCTAAAATCAATTTTGTAACCTGTGACATTCAAAGACCCTTGAAAAAGATGTAAGCTGAAACATCAAGTAGAATAAGAAACTGTTTCTTGTTATCATTAAAAATAATAAAATCTTACTCGTATTTGATCTTTAATGATGATAACAATAATCAAATTTGAAGATAGCTGAGTTC